CTTTTCCAAGTACTGCCTGCTTGGCTATTCCATTCCCAGGGCGGCTCTGCGCTCACACAGGGCTTCTCCCTCTCCCTTCCCGAGGGTGTTTTCTGTGTGACTTAGAATAAGTATTGGGTCATGTGGATGTTGCTATGGCAACTGGTGTTTTAAATAAAAATAGTGTTACACCCCCGGTAGCCTGTCAGTGTGAAATGTGCCTATAGGCAGTGAAAGGCTGTTGGCATCTGCATCCCTCCGGTTCCCAGCAGCATCCTCCTGGCACCCCCCAGGCCTAGAGGGCAGAATCTGCCGCTCTGACACAAGGGCTGGGCTCCCTAGTACTTTAGGGGGAAGGTGGGGAGCTTGCACAGGTAGGTTTCCCTCCGATGGCCAGGGGCTCTGCCTGGTGACTTCCCCCAACTTCTGCCAGCAGCAGAAGGGGGCTGCTGCTCTTTAGGTCTTTCTGGACAGAAACTTTGATTAAAGATGGGCTTTGTCTTGGAGTCTACTTCTGGGGGAACATAAATGGAGACAAGGATTTATGTGCAAGGAATTTGTTTTGGAGGCAGTCCAAGGAAAGGCAGTGGTGCAGGGGAGGGAGGGCAGGCAGTAAAGGTGCATTTTCCAAAGCGCCTGCTGCAGACAAGGGGCGCTCAGTCCCACTCAGGAACTTTGGGAGACCATTTAGTGTAAGGTATCCCCTCAAGGGCGAGGGAGCTGGCGCATTTATTTAGCAAATCCCCCTCTGTCACTGGATTTGAGGAATGAAACAAAAACAACCAACCAACCAAACCAAAGCTCACAAAAGTCCTTAGGCAGAGAGTTGGCAGGCAGCAGGCTTTAGGGCTTTAAGGTGACACCTGCCTAGAGGATATGGGCAGGGGACCCATCCCCTGCTGTGGGCCTCCTGGCTGGGCTGGCAGCCTTCTGCATGTCAGTGAACCCCCCCAACTCTCACAAGCACTTTTGTGTTGGGACAAGGAGCTTACTCTGAAAAGTTAAAGCAATGTGAAATGGGCTTTAAGGATTTCAATAAATCCTGAGACCTTTGAGGGCATGATGATGAAACCGCTACTCTCAAGGGCCATTGTCCTCTGGGGTGGTGCCGGTGGCAGGTGGGGGAAGGGCTGGGTGGGGGAGGGGTCATTCTCTTTTGGAGGAAAGAGAGGCCGCTTATTACATTCCAAACAAGAGTTTTTGAAAAGTGTTTGAGTATGTCCTTCTTGACTTATTTTGGATAATGAAAACTTTTAAGATTGGGTTCAATGATATTGAACCCAAGAAACTCAAACTTTTAGGGGAAGTTTATGGAGGGTGCTTTAGGTAGCAGTGAACAGGTAGAAATGAATTGGAGATACAGTGCTTTGAGATCTTGGCAGGAACTGGGGCAGGGTGGGCAATTTTTTCTTCTCCCATCAGGTTGTGTTGAGTTCTCTGGGTAGAGTTAGCCACTGGGCACATCGGCTCGCTTTCTAAGCACAGGTACCCCGGTCTTGCTTTGAATACAGAGTCAGCGGGTCTGTCCATCAGTGGAAAAAGAGTTGCTTCCCAAAGTGCCCCACCACCTCCTCCTTGGGTTTGAATCCTGAGTGGGATGTTACAAGGACTAAAATTTGGAGCTTACTGATGTCAACTGTGGTGTTCTGAAAAAAGAGCTCACTAATTTCAGCAGACTGTGGACCATCCAGTTCTTACCCTTTCAGGCTGGTTCTTTAGCTTTTCCTTAAGCTCTCTGGGCATCCCATAGTATTACAAGGTGTTCTTTTGCCTTTTCTTATTAAATCAACTAGGGTTTGTTTCTGTTGGTTGCAATGGAAGAACCCTGAATGATCTCGACTCGTGTGGAGGGATCCCATGGGGATTAAAAATCTGGATACCGTCAAAGGAAGCCCTGTGAAAACCTGCCTCTGCTGCTGCTGTTTCAAGCAGTAGGTGCAGAAACAAGGGAGGCAGAGAAAAGTGTTAGCATCGCGGGAGTGGACGAGGCGTGTGTGGGGGCGGAGGGAGGAGGAGGTTTTCTGCCTGCGAGAGAGAACACGGAGGAAGGCAGGGAAGGGCAGGGGGAGCCTCAGCCTGCAGTGTGGATCCCATGGTCTCAGCCAGGCTCCGGCACCAGGACTACCCCTCAGAGAAGTCCAGTGTTGATGGAAACGGCTGGGCTCCAGTGCTCTGTTGCTCAGGCTTTAGCTGGGGCTGCCGGGAGGTAGTGTGGCCTCAGCTCGAAAGCCAGAATCATTGCTGACGGCGCTCTGGCTGGAGACTGCCGGCTCACTGCACTGCTTTGCAGCCGAACAGCAAGTCCTTCCTGGTGGGGAGATCTGAGCTGCTCAGCTCCGTGGCTGCCAACTGCCGAGTATACTCTGTTTTGTCTTGACGCTCTCCCCGTTTTATCTTGTTCAGGCCTCTCACTGTTCCTGCGAGGTTGGTGCTACTTCCACCCCCACAGATGGTGAAATGGAGACCTAGTAAATTATCCCCTAATTGGCTTGCTAGTGAATGTGAAAGTTGGGATTAAAAAAAAATTTTTTTTTTAGAAGTGGGGTCTTGCTATGTTGCCCAGGCTGGTCTTGAACTCCTGGCCTCAAATGATCCTCCCACCTCAACCTCCCAAAATGCTGGGAGTACAGGCATAAACCACCATGCCTGGCCAAGCGTTGGGATTGGAACCTAGCTATGTTTGGCTCAAATGCTCTTGCTTTGATGTCCTTTGGCAGCAACCATTGCTTCAACTGCCATCATCCCCTTGATAAGTCCTTACTGGGATTCTGCAGCTTCAGTGGCTGCTTATTGCCCCCAGAGCAAATCTGCTGGGGTGGTGTGTATGTCTGTGCACTGGGTCTGTCTTGGGTTAAAAACACAGCTTTCCTTTTAGAGCTGAATAATACTTCGTTGCCTGGATGCACCACAGTTTATTTACCCATTCACTTACTGAAGGACATCCTGGTTGCTTCCAAGTTTTAGCAATTAAGAATAACATTGCTCTAAAGATCCATGTGCAAGGTTTTCATATAGACATAAATTTTCAACTCCTTTGGGTAAAATACCAAGAAGTGCAATTGCTGGATGGGCTAGAAAGAGCATGCTTAGTTTTGTAAGAAACTGTCAGACTGTCTTCCAAAGTGGCTGTACCATTTTGCATTCCCAACAGCAGTGAATGAGGGTTCCTGTTTTGTGGCTCCTTATTCTCACCAGCGTTGGGTGGTGTCAGTGTTCTGGATTTTGGCCCTTCTAATAGCCGTGCACAGGTATCTCACTGTCGTTTTGGTTTGCATTTCCCTGGTGACACACGACGTGGAGCATCTTTTCCTACACTTACTCGCCATCTGTGTATCTACTTTGGTGAGGTGTCTGTTCAGGTCTTTGGCCCATTTTTAAATTGGTTTGTCTGTTTTCCTATTGTTGAGTTTTAGGAGTTCCTTGTATATTTCTCCTGGTCTGTGGCTTGCCACTTCATTCTTTTTTTTTGTTTTTGTTTTTTTTTTGAGACAGAGTCTCATTTTGCTGCCCAGGCTAGAGTGCCATGGCATCAGCCTAGCTCACAGCAACCTCAAACTCCTGGGCTCAAGCCATCCTGCTGCCTCAGCCTCCCGAGTAGTTGGGACTACAGACACACGCCACCATGCCCGGCTAATTTTTTCCATATATATTAGTTGGCCAATTAATTTCTTTCTATTTATAGTAGAGATGGGGTCTCACTCTTGCTCAGGCTGGTTTTGAACTCCTGACCTGGAGCAATCCGCCCGCCTCGGCCTCCGAGTGCTAGGATTACAGGTGTGAGCCACCGCGCCTGGCCTGTCATTTCATTCTCTTCACAGTGTTTTTCAGAGAGCAGAACATTTTACTAAAGACTAGCTTACCAATTCTTTCTTTCAAGGATCGTAACTTTGGTGTTGTATCTAAAAATTAGTCACCAAAAACCCAACATCCTCTAGAGCTCTCAAAACATGAAAAGACATGGAGGAAACTTAAAGGCATATTGCTAAACTGAAGAAGCCAATCTGAAAAGGCCACATTCTATAGGATTCCAACTATATAACATTATGGAAAAGACAAAACTAAGACAGTAAAAAGATCGTGGTTGCCAGGGGCTGGGGGAAAGGGAGAGATGTGGAGCAGGGCGGAGCACAGAGGATATTTAGGGCAATGAAAGTACTTATATGATACTACAGTGGAAGGTACATGTCATTGAACAACACCAAGAGTGAACTCTGTTGAGGACTGTGGACTTTAGGTGATGATGATGTGTCAATGTAGGTCTATTAATTGTAACACATGCCCCACTCTGGGGTGGATGTTGGTAATAGGGGAGGCTGCGCAGGTGTGGGGGCAGGGAGTATATAGGAAACCTCTGTGCCTTCCACTCAAATTTGCTGTGAACCCAAAACTGCTCTAAAAAAAAAAAAATGAAGTCTACTAAAACACACCAACAAAAATCCCCATGGCTTTCTTTCCCACGTGCTTTAGTTTGGGTTCCCTTGAAGGCAGATGCTGAGGCAAGTGGTTTACTTGAGAGGACATTCCCAGGAGGAGGAATTTGGGGGAGGCGGGCGGGGGAGAGGAGGGGCGTATGAGCCAAGAAAAAGGGCGCCAGTGGCCCCGTCAACGTGGGCAGCCGCTGCTCCCCCTGCTGGGGACGGGCTGAGGAGCCGTGCAGAATGCGGAACAGCCTGGCTTGCTTCTCATTGGCGGAACAGCCTGGCTTGTTCCTCATTGGCGGAATGCAGCCGGGGGCGGGGCCCCCGGCAGGCGTGCACAGAGCTGGGCGGGGCGGGGCGGGGCGATGCGGCGGGCTGGTCTGCAATTGCCCAGCACAGCCCTGGGGAACTCGGAGGTGCTGGGATAGCCCACAGCCTCTGCCACGTGCATACTCAAGGTTTTTAGGAGGAATCTGAGTCCACGTTCAGAACACCTGATTCTTGCGACTCAGGATTCAGGGGAAGTAGCAGTGATCACTACCACTGTTGGGGCACTGTATTGGTTTGCTGGGATTGTCACAACAAAATGCCACACACTGGATGGCTAAAACAACAGAACTTTATTTCTCGCGGTTCTGGAGTCTAGAAGTCCAAGCTGAAGGTCTCTTGGGCTGTTCGGTTTCTCCTGGGGCCTCTCTCCTCGGCTTGCAGGTGGCCACCGTCTTGCCATGTCCTCGCGTGGTCTTCCTCTGTATGCTCTTCTTGCGGTCTCGTCCTCTTCTTACGAGGATGCCAATTTTACTGAATTAGGGCCCTGCCTTTATGACCTAATTTCACCTTAAGTACTTCTTAAAGGCCCCATCTCCAAATACAGTGATATTGGGGGTTAGAGCTTCAACATACGAATTTTAGGGGAACACAATCCAGTCCGTAACAGACATGATGGCCGCGAGAAGACCTGGATCTAAGCCATATTTCTTCTTTTTACCGGTCCCAGAAACACTTAGGCGAGAAGCTCAGGGTCACACAGCTTGACTAGCAAATACGATGCTGAGTCAGAAGTAAATGTGTCTGGCCCGGTGACCCCCGGCCCAGGGCTGCCCACACCCACTGTCTACAAGGCAGCATGCCCCAAGGTCTCCTGGCCTTGGGCCTCTCTGAGAACCTGAGGGGGCCCAGCCTTGGGTGCTGAGGCCTGGTTCTAGCGATGGCTATGCTGTGGCCTTGTGCAAGGGCTTCTCTTTGTCCCCTCTTCTGGGGAATGAGGGACTGGGTCACATTGCCATTCCTATTGCCCCAGTCTTTTTTCCAGTGTTAGCAAACATTTTTGGGGGAAACGGGCACTCACGTCTGCTAGAGGGACTGTACGTGGGAACAGTCCATCTAGGAAGGCGATTGATTTGGCAGGACATTTCAAAAGCTCTAAAGAGCGTGCACATCCAAGGTTCTTCCTAGAAGGGCAACTGCTGGTGAAAGATGAAGCTATGAGGAGAATCGCTGGTGTCGGTTTCTCACATGCCACTTTCATAAACATGTCCAACAGCAAGGGACTGAATGAACTAATCGGGGTACCTTATTCGATGGAACATGCAGACATAAAACAAGATTCTGCAAAAGAATATTTAATAATTTGTAAAGATTTTTCATAATATCAAGTGAAAAAGCTAATTACAGAGCAACCCATAGTGTGGTTCAATCCATGTTAAAAGATACAAAAATCTAGAAGCATAAAGTCAGGAAGAAAACTGTGGTTACTTGTGTGTGATGGGATCGTGGAGATCTTAAATCTTTATGTTCCGAAGTAACAGTGTATATTTATTGATTTTGTAATACAAAAATCCACAAAAACAGTTATGTTAAAATAAATAATTTACCTAGTTTGGGCAGCTGGCCAGCTAACTGTGCAGCTATTACTCACCCATTCCACCCTTGCTGCTTGTTTTTCCACTCTCTATAGTTCAATCTTCACCTTTCTAGCTCTCCTAACTGCTGACGTGGCCAAGTGATGGAGTTATGGCCAGAGAGATTTAAGTGGGAGTTGGCTGGGTGGACATAGAGGTTTCTTGAAAAGGTATGCCTCCTGATAAAAAAAAAAACACAAAAAACCATTACTGGACTGTTTACCTCTCCTTTCTTCCTCCTGGAATATGGAGCTGATGGCTGGAACAACAGCAACTCCCTTCTGACCACGAGGTCAAAGATGGTGGAGCAGAGGGGTTAACTCTAGGCTTCCGATGGCATCTTTGAGTACACTGCACCAACTCTGGACTAGACTCCTACCTCAAGGCTTGTTATGTGTGATAATTCTGACATAACAGTTATAGTTAGAGCAGTTATGAATGCTTTGGGCTGCAAGTAACAGAGTTTAGGTCTCTCCTCTAGGTCCTACATCGCTCCCATTATTCCACACTGCCTCCATGGAGAGAAACAGAGATGTCCTCAACAAGGCACTCCCTTCCCAAGCTGGTGGCACTCTCTATTTGGCATTAGCATCTGCATTTGTTTGGTGGCTCTTGGAGAAGTGCACTGTCTTTTATAGCATGGGAACACGTTAAGCATCCAGGATGCCACACGGGCAGGACGTGGTGCTGCTCAGTCAGTCAGCTGTCCCTCAAAACACTTACTGGGTGCTGGGCATTGTGCCAAGTGTGGGGGAGGCAAAAGAACAAAACAGACCCACATCCTGTTCTTCTGAAGTTTATCACTCGTAGAGAACAAGGGCATCAAAAAATCAGTTAATCTCACGCACAGTTACGCGTGCAGTGTTTTCAAGTACAGGGTGCCGTGTGAGTGCATGGTGGAAGAGCCTGGGCGAGGGCCCAGGGAAGGCAGCCTAGAAGGTTTTTCCTGTGTCTTTAATCTCAGCAAGATGGACCCAAAATTCCCAGGCTTGTCTATGACAGCCTCTGGGTCACAACGCCCCACGGAAGGCAGTCGCAGTCTTCCCTTTGATGACGGCCCTCGCCTGTGAGCTTTCTTGTCCGTGTCAGCAAAGTGGGGAGCCTGGACTTGGCGAACTTCTGGGTTCCCAGAGCTGAAATGGCACTCGAGAGGTGCTGAGAGGGGCACCACCGGGGGAGCCGTGCAGACTCAGCTGGGCAGGCGACACTGGGGCTGTTTGCTCCCCAGCCTTGGCAAAAATGGGTCCCCCATTTGTTCACTCAACCACACACACTGAACACCTGCCATGTGCCAAGCACCGCTCTGGCTGCTGGGGACGTGTCGATGGACACATCGATGGTCTGGCGGGAGGAGACAAGGTCACAGCAACTCACGCAGGCATTTCAGGGTGATACCTGCCTCGGAAGCAAGGCACAGGGGACGGGGAGGGATGGTGGGTGGTGGTACGTGTTCCACTGGGAGGTCAGGGTGGCTCTCACTGATGGCAGGGGGCGAGGGGGGGACTCGTCTAAGACTTGCAGGAGGGCAGAGGCGCCTCTGCAAGGGACCGAGTGTGCCAAGGCCTCAGGGGACGGCCTGTGTGAGCAGCAGCAGGGAGGCCTTGGGGACGGGCAGGTGCTGTGTGGCCAAGAGCAGCGGAGGACAGAGCCCCAGCATCCGACTTGTGTTGGAAAAGGATTCCAGGTCAGCCCTTGCCCCGTCTGTTGACTCTTGAGTCAAAAAATCAAGGCATCAATGGTGGGCAGACCTGGTGACCCATGCACCGAGCCGCCTTGATGGATGTGGGCTCAGACCCTGCATGGACCACGATGACCTGAGCAATGAAGCATTTGCTTTTTTTTTTTTTTTTTGACAGAGTCTTGCTTTGCTGCCCCGGCTAGAGTGAGTGCAATGGCATCAGCCTAGCTCACAGCAACCTCAAACTCCTGGGCTCAAGCAATCCTCCTGCCTCAGCCTCCCGAGTAGCTGGGACTACAGGCATGTGCCGCATGCCTGGCTAATTTTTTCTATATATATAGTTGTCCAATTAATTTCTTCTATTATAGTAGAGACAGGGGTCTCACTCTTGCTCAGGCTGGTTTCGAACTCCTGACCTCGAGCAATCCACCTGCCTCGGCCTCCCAGAGTGCTAGGATTACAGGTGTGAGCCACCGCACCTGGCCCTCATTCTTAATTTGTTCTGATGTTATTTTTAAGTGAGTACGATCTCCATAATCAAGAAAAATATTCAAATTGTTAAAGACAAGTGGTTATCTCTGGGCATACGACTATAGGGACTTCCACATTCTATCTTGTACACCTACACTCTTCTTAATTTCTGGTCCTTGAGCAGTGTTACTTTCTATTGGTTTGTGCCTCTAAGCCTTGGCGGGTATTCCTCTAAGCAAAGTGTAAAAAGACACAGTGTAGGCAAAGACGGAAGAGCATTAACTGAGCTCGCAGTCATAAAGTCAATTACACACACACACGCACGCCACATGATGCCCCTCCGGCCGAGTCAGACCCGAGGACAGCTTTGACGGTTCGTGGCAGGAGGACATGGTTCCCCACACCCCACTTCCAGTGCGCTCTCCCCACAAACTCCAGCCTTTCAAGTCGAAGGCAGGCAGAAAACTCTGCGGGCGGGCGGGCACTGCTATGTAGCCCGCTGGTGGGGGGCAGACAGCAGCCCGGGAAGCCGCTTTGGGCAGGGTTGGCAGCGCAAGTCCTCGGAGCCTAACCACCGACTCACACCTGCTAACCACCGACTCACCTGCTTGACCGTTTCGAGCCTGCTCCTCACCTGGAAGATGGAATGACGACACTGCTTCCCCTCCTGGGGCTGCCCAGTGCCTAAATGGGATGCTGCAGACCCAGTGCCCGGCACACAGGAAGTGCCGGCGGGATGGGGGGTCACTGTCTTTGCCGTGCAGTACCAAGACCCATGACTCTGGAAGTGGAGCGCCAGGCTGTGTGGCCCAGGGCGGGGCGCTTGACTTTCCTGGGCCTCTGCTGCCAGTGTAAGGTGGGGCTGCAATGGGACAGGCCACAGCAGGCTGCAGGCGTCCCTCACCGTGACTTCTTTTGCCTCAGTGGGCCCTGCCCTGATGCCATTCCTCTGAGACCACACTGCTGGGCTGCTGGAGGCTCTGGGCTCTGCTGCGCCCAGGATTTGCTCTGCTAGGAAGCGAGGCTCCCCAGACCGGAGGCTGCTCCCAAGTTTCATCTTCTGTTGGACCTCAGCCTTCGGTCTCGCTGCATGTGGCCTCTGTGGCACCCCCTGGAAACAGGGGAGCAGTGGTCCAAGTCTCTAGAATGCCAGGTAGCTAGAGCGTATGTTAGAAATTAGGTTTTACTGCTTAGGTATTTTGCTCCATTTTTCTATTGAAACCCTTTGCTGCTATGCCTTTTAAAACAGCAATTTCAGGCCAGGCGCGGTGGCTCACACCTGTAATCCTAGCACTCTGGGAGGCCGAGGTGGGCAGATCGCTCAAGGTCAGGAGTTTGAAACCAGCCTGAGCAAGAGCGAGACCCGTCTCTACTATAAATAGAAAGAAATTAATTGGCCAACTAAAAATATATAGAAAAAATTAGCCAGGCATGGTGGCACATGCCTGTAGTAACAGCTACTTGGGAGGCTGAGGCAGGAGGATGGCTCAAGCCCAGGAGTTTGAGGTTGCTGTGAGCTAGGCTGATGCTATGGCACTCTAACTCGGGCAAAAGAGTGAGACTCTGTCTCAAAAAAAAAACAAACAAAAAAAAACCCCAGCAATTTCAAACTCTTTGGTCTGTGTGAGGCTCCTTATGAGTTTTTTAGGGGACAGAGGGAATGGCAGAACAGATTCTTGGTGCCCCACCCTCCTTTAAAAATCCATCAAAAATCAACACTAAGGTGAAAACTTTTGACTTCAACTCTGTCCTTGAGACCCACGAACTGTTCCTGAAATATCAGCAAAGCGATGTGCAGAGTCTTCCTGGGGAGGGTGCCCACAGCTTTCCTGATAGACTCACTGCAGTTGGTAAGACAGGAGCATGCAGGAAATCTTGCCTTGTAGCAATGACAAACAGAAACCCTCAAATTACTACATTTTCTATTAAAAAAAAAAAAAAAAAAGCAGCCAGTTGCCTGGGGCCAATACCTACCAAGACACAGATGCTCAAGGTTAAAAGGTCTTTGGCGGTGGCTGTCACAAGGGATATAGAAAAGACTGTCTCTGAGGCCTAAAGGCTGGTGATAATTATCAGTAAAACAAATGAGGACATCTATCCCCACCTCCGCCAAAAAAAGAAGCTAACCTCACGGGAAAAGTACAACAAAAATTTTCAAGTTCAAATGAAATGACTGCCCACTATGTCGACTCTTCATGGTACTGCATTTTAGGGTCAGGGTTTCCCGGAGGTGCCTGCCACTCAAATGGCTTTTCTGTGCTCAGAAAGACGCAGGTGCTCTGAGAGGGGCACAGACGGCTTTCCTGGTCCCCACTTGTCCGTTACAGAGGCGGGAAATCAAAAGCAGGACCAGGCAAGGGTCTGGGGACACCGTGGAGCTCCGTTCTCTGCCCATCCCTGGGGGGGGCAGGTTCCTAAACTTCTCTGCCTCTACTTTCTCTCCCTAGAATGGGGTGGTTGGGAGATGAGATTAAAGGAATGGAAAGCCTTTAAAATGCACTGTGCCAAGAACTCAATAAATTATGAAAAAAATCTAAGGCTTTATATTGGTAGAAAAGAACTTACCTTCCAGTTCCCGTTGTGAGGGATAGGAGGATGCTCTGGCGGTGGTTATTCTGGTGAAAATGGGAAGGGTCAGGTTTTCATAGCCCAGAATCCCTGGGGATTTACTTTTAAAATTCAGAAAAGTGAGTTTTAAGAGAATTATTATCCAACATACAGTAAATGCTGTAAACTTTTCACACTGCTGCAAACAGCCCGCACAGGCACTCCACTGTGGCTTTTTATTTAATTTTTAATTTTCATGGGTACACAGTTGTATGTATCTACAGGATACATGTGATGTTTTTATGCAGTTGTATGATGTGTAACAGCTGAATCAGGGTAACTGGGCATCCATCCCTACCCCTCATTTATCATACCACGGCCTTTTAACATTTGGCACTGGAAGATTTTCTCCCCCCATCTTTTACAATATTTTAGGGGCTCTCAAACTTGAGTGCACCGCAGAATCCCCTGGGGGTGGGGTGGGGCTTGTTAACACACAGCCTGCCGGCCTCGGCCCTGAGCTTCTGATTCGGCCTGGATGGGGTGGAGGATGCGCCTAACAGGTTCCCATGGGTGCTGGTGCCACTGCTGGGCCAGGGACCACTCTTTGAGAACCCTCACTCTATTTGATATTAAATACCCTCAGGAGACTTCCTTCTAAGTCCAGCTTTTCCCAGAATCGCTGACTGGGGTCAGCAGATGGTGAGCAGCTGGAGAGGACAAGACTGCAGGTGTGGAAGTGTGTGTGTGACGAGCTCCCTATGTCACCGAGGTTTGAGGCTGTCTGCCATGGGCCTCTTGGAGAATCCTGTACTTTGGGATGTGACTGGCTGCAAATGTAGGACCCTCAGTAAGTTACAACATAGAGATTCTAAACTCAGGGCTTCAGATGATCACAAAACCAAGGCTTTAGAAACGGGGGACATGCACTTTCTAGTTTTCTATGGCCAGGTGGCATCAGGTGAATGTAATTGGAGGGTGTGGGATGTTCTGGAGGAGGGAGGGTGTTCTCAGTGAGGTCGGATCATTTTGGAAAAGCAGCCACAATGTGGACAGAGGTGTGTGGCCCAGGCGGAGGGGAGCGGGGGGTGGGGGGGCGGGGGGCTCTGGCTGGCCCCCCTGGGCTGGGCTGGCGGAAACACTCAGAGCTGAGGCACATGTTTGCCTTTGCAGCCTCGACCTGAAGGTCACTGTGCAAACCTCAAATGAATTCACCAGCCTAACACCAAAATTAAGTAGAGCTTCCTCTGGATCCTAAACGGTTCTCTCCCTAGACTTGACCCCATTTTATATTTTATTAGATTTTTAATCAGATTCTATTATGAAGTGCTTTAAACAAGGTTAGAATTTACAAACACACAGGGGGAGAACACTGCCTGGTATACCTGGCTTAAGAAGCCAGAGAGGAAGCCTCCGAGAATGGAGAAGGCTTTACTCAGGCCCTGGGAGCAGGTCTGGGGACTTCCGCCTTCAGCTTCCCCTTCACTCTGCGGCATGGCCTCTGGGGCTGAGTTTTTGGGTTTGAGTAGCTGTGTCACCCATTACCAATGCTGTGGATGGTGTGGTCTTGGTATTTACCCAACAGGGTGGTTACATGCCCTACCTGATTGTGAGGAATTTGAGGCAGCAAGAAATGGCTAAATGCATACAGAGCACCGAGGGCGGTGCCTGCTGCTAGTATTTTGATGCCCCTGGAAAGAAACAAAGATTCGGGGCTGCAACAGAGAGCAAGAGTATCTGACCCTGCAGGACGCTGGGCTCCAGCTATGCTCATGCATTTACCGAACACATCTCTTATTGAGCTACTTCTCAACGCCACTCAGTGAGCTAGGATGGCGGGTGCAGCAGTGAAGGAAGCCGAGTATTCCTGCCCTCAATGAGCTTACAGCCTGTGGGAAAGACAGATGTTCAGCAAAGATTCTGGCTAATGAGTGCACGAGGGCAACATGAGACGAATGCTCTGAAGGGACAGAATTCAGCTTGCTGGGCAAGCAGAACCTGGGCTGGCCTTTTGGGCGGGGGGCATTAGCTGTCTGAAATCTGGGGGACACTCAGGCATCAATAATGGGAGTTGGGAAACAGCTGGGAGCGCCCCAGACTGGGCTGAGCCAGATGAAGGCTCTGGGGTGGGGCAGGAGGGATTTTGCGGAGGGGAAGTTGGGGAAGTGTGTGCCACTCCGGGCCCTGCTACAGTTAGGGGGAGTCCAACTCTTTCAGTAGCTTTAATGCTGGGGGTGGGAGGAATTCACACAATTTAGGGGTGCATTCTGAGGACATCATTCTGGCTGTAACAGAACAGAGAGGGTTGGAGTGGAAGCTGGAGAGGATGTGGGGAGACCAAACGGGGTGACAGTGGTTCTCAAGAATCCCCCGGAAGGCCGGTGAACACGCAGCCCCTGAGCCCAGCTCGCCGTCCCCACCGTGGTTCTGTCTGTGGGCAGCATACGTGCTGTGGTCCCTGGATCCTGCTTTTCCAACATGCTGACGCTGCTGCCCATGGACCGCCCCATGAGAGGCACTGGCTTGGGCTCCGCTGGCGGTGGGGAGTCGGTAAGAGGATGGATTCTCAGGGACGGGCAGTTCATATGTTTTGGGGGACGGTGGGAAGCCCTTTCTGAACACTGGGACTTTTTGTACTTTGAAGATAATCGTCCCCAGACATAAGTGAGTACGAATTTTAGAGATGCCCTGAGTGACTTGAGGATAGGGTGGGAGACAGAACTTCACAGAACTCGCAGACTCACCTCTTAGCACTCTACGGTGACAGATGCAGGCGGCTCTGATGAACTCAGGCTCTGTGTAACCGCGGTGCTGTGCGATGTCTGCACGGGGCTTTTGCCCGCCTCTCTGGCTTTCCATGGGATAGCAGCAGAAGGCCTGTGCACCACCGAGGTCACACAGGCGGGCCTGGGTTAATCGCAGTGGCCCTGGATCTCTTGTCATGTAGAAAGTCAGAGAAAAGGACATCTTTCTTAGTGCCTCAGAAAGGACGCAACCCAGCCACTCTGTCTTGGACAGTCCTGGCTGGGCTCTCCAAAATAGTGGTGTCACACATCAGATTTAATTTGGGCATAAAAGCGCTCCAACTACGGAGATCCCAGGTAGTTTTCCAACTCTGTCAGGGCCCTGGCTGTGAGGTCAGCACAGGTAACGGCACGAACTGTCCCCGGCCGACCAAGCAGCAGGCAGATCAGGGCCCTGGGGACGGTCTTGTGCGTGGTTCCCATGCACATTCACATCTGCGGGACACACACCGACCGACGGCTGCGGAACCGGCCCCAGCACGAAAGGGCACCTGGGAGCATCCAGGAAACGGATGCATTCCCTGGACATGTGGCTACAAAGGGCCTTGCTTGCTCTGGGAGTGTCCCCTGAGGCCACCATCCTGTAACTAGGTCCCGCACTCCGCCCTGTTCAAAGCCTCCACCCCCCTCCACAGCCACCGTGTGGCCAGCAGCTCTCGGAAACGGTTGAGTTCCGTGGTGCTTCACCCCGACAGGGCCCGGAACTCCCACTTTTCACAGTGGGGAGTCGGGTAGCGCCGTTTTCCCTGTAGGAAGCTAATGCTGCCAGGAGTAGCTTTTCCTTTAAAACTATCTGTGCGCCGGCAGGCCCGCGCCTGGACGGCCGCTCGCCTGGGTCCTGGAGCCGCTGGTCCTCTGTCCTCTGCGCGGGGCGTGGCGGCCTCGCGGGGGCGCCGCTGCTGGAGCCGAGCCGGACGCTGCCTGCGGTGCGGTGCGGCCCTGGTGTTGTGAAGTAGCCGTTCTCTGATTGGCAACGGCCTGATTCACAACACCAGCTGCCCCACCGCACCAAGCCGGGAGGCCCCTCTGCGGGCGGGCGGCGCGCTGCTGCGGGCAGGGGAGCTGGAGAGAGCAGAGAGCAGCGAGGTCAGAACAGGAACGCAGATTCCATCAGTGCATCACCCTCCCAGCCTCATCTACAAGACGACTCTCTCTTTGTTTCCTTTATTAATTTTTTTTTATTATTATTTTACCCAGAACCACACTCAAGACATCTTGAGCAAGTGGACTCCTAGATTTCTGGTTTTTTTTTTTTTTTTTTGCATCTTTTGCCAGCTTCCCCTCCCCTGGGGTCATGGGTGGGCATCCGTGGCTCCCAGGAGCCCTGGATCCTGGACACAAACTTACCTGCGTGTTGGCACTTCTCTGGGAAGAGGATCTGCCTTAACACACCCTCAAAGGGAAACAGCCCTCCGCGGTTGAGTGTTTGCTCTGGGAGGTGCAGTGGTAACCAAATACTTTTAACCCATCACTGCCTGTCCAGGGTCCCCAGGCCTTGAAGGCCGCACTCGGAGGAGCTCCCACGACTGCTGAGGATGACCAGGTCCAAAGGGAATCCCTCGCGGATGGGGCACACTCTCCATGGCTCAGTCCGCTGCAGAGTTGGGAGCACATCCCGAACACGACATTAGGGCGATCACTATGGATTCGGGGCAGTCACACACGTCAGCAAAAATGGAGGCTGGCTGCAAAGAAACCCAGCAGCCACCATGAAGTCCTTACCCACGGTGGCACTTGCCTTTCTGCCAGCAGGTGACCCACTGGGCTCCTCCTTCTCTCCCTGGTTTCAGCAAGTCCAGGATATCGTGTGTCTCTCTTAGGGAAACACGGCAGTAAAATGACTTTGGAACTCTCCTTTTGGTATCTGCCTGGATCTTATCCCCATGATGAAATTATGTAGCGTAAATTGATGTGAAAATAGCATTAGAAGTTTAATCCCTATTTCCAGGTGTCAATAAACACTTTAAATGAACAGTTCTTTGGCCCCAAATGGCTCCTGCCTGCTGCGTGGTTCTTAGTTACCCAATCAAGAAAAATCACATTTCCCACTTTCTGCCATCTATCTTGGAAACCGCTTTATTTTAAGGACACAAACTTGGCAAGTTGCTAGTACTGGATGTGGCACAGAAGTTCTGCCAAAGTTCTTGCCAGAGTCGGGGGAGGCAGAAACTTTGAGTAATTCATCAATCATAGCTCAACACCACGCCATGTAAATCACCGTGGCCTTGGAGTTCGGAAATGTTTGGGTTTTCCTGTCTACAGTCAAAGAATCCCTGATGGGACATTAGGCTATCATTTCTACACTGGGGCCTCTATGGTCCCAATTGCCAAACTGGGGATTTCTGCCACACGTGAGTCGCTCCTGCCAGACACCCAGGAAGGGCATGGAACCAGGGGTGCAGCTCTTGTGCGCTAGCACAGAAGGAATGCTGATGTCTGGGCCCACGTGCTGTTCTAGGCCCTTCAAACAATTGAACTTGAATCCATCACATCCCGTGAGAGTCATGATCTATCACTGTGCCCACTGGGCTAGAAATGGGGAGTTCTGGGGGATGAAGGAACTTGTGGTCAAGGAGCAGGGAGAGGAGCTGGGGTGGAGAGGACACCCAGCTCCAGCTCGGCCATCAGCTTCCCTGGCAGACACAGCTGATTCTGGGTGCCTCTCCCCCATCAGACTGCTCTTCTGTTGAAGATGGCCCAGAGTGCACGGCCTCTAAGTCCCACAGCCCCAGCGCTGCAGGCTCGGAGCCTACTCTCTGAACACACAAGATGAGTGAATGGCTGGGTGGCACATGGTTCCGCACCAGGGCCTGGAAACAGGTGGGTCTGGGTTCTGCATTCTGACTCTGTCCCTTCCTACCTGTGCTCCTAGGTCAAGTTACTGAACCCTTCTGGGCCCCAGTTGCAGTACCTGCAAAACAGTGTGATAATAAGATCAGAAAACCTGGCCTACAGCAAGTGCTGGCGTTGGCCGAGGTAACGTGGCTGGCTTTCTGAGCACTGGGTAGAGACCTGGAATTTTTGCTTTCCCATGGGGCTGAACTTTCTTGAGGACCAACAACTACTTACTCTGAGAATTAGCAAGTTCCAGAAAGTGGGATTAGCTCCTTGTAAAACAAAGCAAGGAGGCCGAATTGCTGAGTAGACAAGAGGCCTTTGGCAAAGTTAAGGTGCTCTTTTGGCCAAGACTGTGCAGGGGACAGTCATGTTGGTATGGAGTGAGTAAAACACTGTGGACCCACGTACTGGCATTTGTCCCCTCCCTGCATCCATGGGCAAAAGGTGACCAGGAACAGGTGAGAAGCTGTGGCCATGAACAGAGAGCTATCTGTGGCCAACTCCACTTCTTGGTTCCATCTAGGCCCCCACCAGTGCCCAGGGGTTCAAAGGCAGACCAAGAAATGATCGACAAATAACCATCACATTTTAATTTCAAACGCCTGCAAGGAGCTGGCATCCGGCAAGGGCTGGGCCTGGCCCGGGCCCCACCTCCTACTCCTCTAACCCCTCAAAGCGTCCTCCTTGCTCTCTGTGCCTTTTAAACTTCTCAAAATGGGCCATGCCCCCTCCTACCCCAGAACCTTCACACATGCGCCATCCTCCGCCTGGAATGCCTCCCTCCCTGCTTTGCACAGTTAAATACCAACTTCAGGTTTCGGCTCGAAAGTCGCTTCCTGGACTCCCAACCCCAGTATCTGATCCCACTCTTCTGGAACTTGCTCCGCAGGCATCTCTTATCATGGAGTGGGAGTGCAGTCTCCTCCACGCAAGTCCAACTCACCACTGCAGCCCCAGTGTTGGCCACACGGGATGCTGGTTGGATAAATGAATGATTTCAACCAAGACTCTGTAGCCCAGTTACTTTCTTTCGAGATGGGGTCTTGCTATGTTGCCCAGACCGTGGCTACAAACTCCAGGCTCAAGAGATTCTCCTGCCTCAGCCTCCCAAGTAGCTGGGACTACAAGCATGCGCCACCACGCCTGGCTCCCCCAGTTACTTTTTGCTAAGTGCTAGGATGACTCTCTCAGGAGAATCAAAATGGCACTGACTATTTTAGGGACATCCACAGTGCTATTTTGTAACGGGTAATTTTACTTCAACAGATTGACTGTCAGACCTCCCTGCCTTTAGGCTAACCCCACTGCCATCCACAGGATCCAAAGTGACTCTTCCAGAGGGTCAATATGAGCTCCGAGGCTTCCCACTGCTGTCGAGACAGAGTCCCAGCCCCTCCCTGCCCCTCCCCCACGGTGCAGCAGAGCCCCCAGGCTGGCACGTGTGCGTGCTGCTGTGACCCGAACCCCACTGGGATGCCTGCACCCCGTCCACCCAGCAAAGCCCTCTTTCTGCAGCTGGGCTCTAGGCAGCCGTTAGGAAGGCCTTTCCTGCCCTCTGCTCAGCCTGAGCTGCTGGCCTGGCCTCTAAGACTCTCGTACCTTTTTTTATCCTCAAATTATCGTTTACCTCTTCAGTCTGTCTTAGTAGATGGTGACCACGAGGACGGAGGCCATGGTGGAGTCACTGGCGGGTCAACACCCACACGGCAGCGGGAACTCGGGGCCTTCAGCTCGGACATGCTCTCATTCCACGAGGAGGGCCTGCAGAGCTGGGGGTGGTGGTAAGAATTTGTTGTTAGTGTCCCTATGAACCAGCAGACACTCCCAGCATTTTGCATGTCTTCATCTCCACGGCCACCCCGCACGCCCAGCCCAGACCCACCTCCCGCCCCCGGCCTGTCTGGACCGTGGGGTAAGGGTCTGACTTGTCCCTCTGCGATGCATTCTTCCCACAGCAGCCTGGGTGACCCTTCTAAAACAGGAATAGAGGATGCCACTTTCCTGCTTCAAAAACTCATTTGCTTTTCATCACACCCAGAACAAAACCCAAATTCTCTGCAAAAACCCACAAGGCCCTGGTGGTCCAGCCCCACCTGCCCGTCCACCATCACCCCCCTCCTCCTCGGCTCTGGTCGCATTGCCCCTGCCTGTCCACCGTCACCTCCCTCCTCACGGGCTGCAGCTGTACTTTCTTTCAGATCTTGAAACACAGGGCTAGAACATATGGTGTCTTCTGCAATGCAAAGAATCAGGCATTTTCTTTGAACAGAGCCTTTTGTGAGCTCAAGAAGATGCCCTTGCCCCTGGGGAGACACAGCCCTTGATAGGGCTGGACCTCAGCCCCCAGCTGCCCCTGGACAGGGGCCCTGTGTCCTGCAGCCACCCGGAGTGGCCCTGGTGGAGCACACGCTATACCCTCTCAGCTCAGGACTGCTTCAGGACCTCAGCGACCCCACGGACATTTTAAGAGAATACAAGATATCTACTATTCCAAAACTCTGCACCAATTTTAACCAAAATTTTTATCTTTTATTTTCCACTTTGGCCTGCTTATGTTAGCCCTTCTTCACTACTGGCTTGCTAGGCCGAGCCAGCTAATTCTGTTTTGTTTTTTTTCCTTTTTAACATCATATAACGATCGCTCGGTGCAGGCAATTCCAAGGATTTGACATTTATCTGAGCTTTATAACATCAGAGGTCTCCAATCAATAGGACATTTTTTCGCCTGTTAGTTCTGGGAAAAGATGACTGCAACAGAGACGCAGGATGTGTTTCCTCATCAGCCACCTCCTAGGGTCACCACGGATCAACATGGATCCCGTCTGGTGTTAGACGTCCACCACCGAACCTGGCTGGCTCGGGGTGTGAGCTGGGGGATTCGGGGCTATACCCAAATCTAAGATCCTGGACCCTGATTGAGCCAGTTTTGGGGTGATGTCCAGGGATCTAGCCTCAATTCAAAGGGATTATGATAAACCAGGTTTGGGATCTGCTGCTCTTAAATCTAGGGCTCTGTTAAACACCAGTGTTCCTAATGAGTCTCAGCACAGTGGGAGTTTGATATGACTTTAGCATCTTCTGAAGAAAATTAAATCTGGCCCACGTGGCAGGCCTGTCTGTGCACAGCACTGCCTGCCGTTCCAGGACACAGGGTGTGACCCCTGGCTTGGGGGCTTCCTCGGGTCAGGAATGGGAGCGGGAGCGTGTTGAGGCCACGTGCGGGGGGAGCGCCAGGGGGGTCCACCTCCCTAGACAGCGTCAACCAGTGACAGCGCAGGCGTTGGTGAATGAACACCTGGCTCCCTTGGCCCTCGGGTGGGACCCCGAGATGTGTTCTACGCCAGCTCCCAGAGGTCCCCCATGCAGCAGTAAGCTGACGGATGACACATCTTTACTGCCTCCCTTCTGCAGTCTCTTACAATGACACTCAGTGGTGCAGTTAGTGTCTGTGTTAAGTGCACTCAAGCGCACTTGTGGTTTTGAATGGGAGTACCTTATACTGTTCCTGGGGGTGGGGGGCAGGGTGAGGGGACACAGGCACACACACTCAGGTGCTGATCCTGCACGAGCCAGGTCATGGGTGCACCCTGGGCACCTTGCGTGCTCACCCTAGGCCCACCCTGACTTTCAGGGACTCAGAATATGGAAATCAGGAAAACCCAACCCCTTCCGAGTAGGTATTTTCCAGAGTGTGCTGTACCTATATTTCTTCATTGCTTTTTCATAGACAATAACCCTCTAAACGGAGGACCTTTTGGCCCCTAAATTCTGAAGTATTAAGATCATTCTGCATGGTCAGTAAAGCACACGTGCTGTCGTAGGCATTTAAGACAGCATGTCGACTTTTAAGATGGTGGCAAAAATAAACCAAAAGTCAACCAACCCGTAAAGCCTGTTTGCTTTTAGCCCATCTTGGCAGAAGCCTTCGAGGTGGGCTTTAAAATAAAGACTCCTGGTTCAAAGAGGCTGCCCAGCCTGCTGAGCTCAGCCCAGAGTTTATTAGCACAGTTAATATCGCATGCAAATAGATTTCTCTGCTTCTGTCATGCCAGTCCATTAATTCAGCCCCTTGTCTGCTACATCTTTATCCTTGGCAGGTTAATCCTGCCAAATGCCTCTGCTGTAGCACATGTCACGCTGTGCCTATGTCCAACAATGCAATTTTGCTAATCCGGTTGTATCAGCTTTGTGGCCCTGTCTGGTCAATCCAATGGTGGAAAAAGGACATATAAGGTTTTTGCCAAGATCTTTCTCCTACTCTGGCATCTACTCCCTCCTTTTTGTTAAAAAAATATACATAAAATTTCAAGTAAATGGTTTGAAAGTCAATCACAGTGTACGGACATCTGCCAATTCCAGTGTCTTGCAGACGAGGATGTTACAGTGCCCAATGGGCCTCCAAACTCTTTCTGGCAGCCCCACCCAGCTGTCCGCTGAATGGGAAGGGTTAAAACAGGAAGATCAGCTGAATGTCACTTTGCCAAGACTCTGCACATTAAGGCTTTGAGGATGGCTGAATGGAGGGCACAGGTATCTTCCATTATCTTTGCTGCTATCCTCTTTAAGGTTTAGTGGAATCATTAACATGAATTATTAGAAGAGGCACATCCTTTCCTGCAGTCTTCTTTTTGAGGTATCCACCTGGCACAGAGGAACTGTCTCCAGGTCCCACAGTGCCTTGCTCTTCTAGTCTGTGTCCCAGTGGGGTTAAGAGCATGCGTGGGCCTTATAGCCAGATTTGCCTAGGTTCAAATCCCAGTTGGACTACTTTCTATTGTTACGACCCAAGCATGTTGCTTTACCTCTCTGGCCTCACTCTGCTCATCTGTCAAATGGGCACAACCGCAGCACCTGCCACAGAGGACTGCTGCAAGGATTCGGCAAGTTAATACATGTCGAACACTTGGAATGGTGCTGGCACACATAAAGCAGGCACTGGGTAAATGTAAGCTGATATTAACATAGATTGGGAACTTTGTCAAAACTCACTGCCATTTGCGGCTTCCTGTAGTCCGTATGTAGAGTACACGGGGTAACGGTCCACGTGGGCGTGTCTTTTAGGGTCTGCAGACGTGAGCTGTGCTCTCCTGCCCGATAATTGCAGAAACCGGGCTACCAGGAGCCCCGTCTAGTCCCACTACCACCACCTGTCTCTGTTACCCCGGCAGCCTCTGGTGGGTGTGAGGGGGTGTCGCAGGGGTGGGCGAGAACGAGGTCTTTGACTAGATCCCCAGAGCCCGAGTCCTCGGCCTGCTGCTGCGTGACCGTGGGCAATTAACTTCATCTCTGAGACTCTGACGGTGCCCACATTAGAAATGGGAGGCTTGGTGCTGCACTGCAGGGCTACTGTGAGGACCAAATGAAAAAAGGTGTGTGAGAGGCGCTTGGCACGCTGCTGGGAGCACAGCGAGTGGCCCATAAACGTTGGCTGCTGTGGCCGTGGAGTCCCCTGCAAGGCACCAGGGCTTCCCTCGCCACTCCTCCACCCATCTGCCTCCTGGTCTCCCCGCTGCCTCCCTGGAGGTGTGGGAGCCGTGTGGGACCAGGGAGGGAAAGCCGCCAGCGTGGGGCTCAGGAGATGATGAGGCGCTCACTGCTGTGCACCCTGACTCAGTCTCACCCCGGATGTCCTCTCTTGTGATACTCCAGTCTGAACCCTGCTAGGACTTAGGAGTAGTTTTTAGATGATGGGGTGTGTGCGTAGATTTGAAACTGTCCCATGTTTGGACAGAGCTGAAAATGCATCCTGATGGGAGCACTAAGATCTCTCTCTCTCTCTCTTTATAATTAATTAAGAAAGAAAGACGGGGTCTTGCTCTTGCTCAGGCTGGTCTTGAACTCCTGACCTGAACAACTGATCCTCCTGCCTCGGCCTCCCAGAGTGCTAGGATTACAGGGTGAGCCACCATGCCTGGCCTAAGATATTTTTATGGTAACTGTGAGATCAGAACATTAAGCCTATTTGGTATCAGACATGTCAGGACAGGATTTTTGCCTGCGACGTGAAGAGAGTATTTTGCCACAAGGAAGAGCTGTCTGCTTCCCTTGGCAACCCAGTCCCCAAGCACTGCCTTCTCCTCCTCCTTTTCCTGGGTCCTGCTGGATCTTCTAATTAAATGCAGTCCTATCATTAGTTGAGCACTTATTATGTTCTTGTTTTCAGGTGTGACACGTCACATGTGTTATCTTGTTTAATTCTAACGGTGGTGACATACTACCATTTTACCAATTTCCCACGTAAGGAAATGGAGGCTTGGAAATAACAATTATCTTACCCAAAGTCACACCTAGAAAGTAGCCACAGAGCTGTGGCTTGAGCCCAGGGGCTCTCCAGGCCACCAGACTACACAATCCATCTTCGGTGTGACGCCATTTCTTCTGCTGGGCATCTGAGTCAAGCGTGGACCTCCTGAATTACCAAGTCCCTTTAGTATTTGTTTGTCTCATATGCAGTATTTGCCTTTTCCTCTTATTGTTTTTGATGAATCTTGTACTCACATTTTTCTTGGTGGGGAGAGGGTTATGGAAAAAAACCAAGATTCCTTTTCTGTAAAAATTAGGAAATTCCAGCATCGAGCACACGTCAGTGATTAGAAAAATCCTATACATCCTGATTCTATTGCACCGATCTTAATCCAGTTTTCATTTGCCAATCTCTTGAACAGAATAGGTTTGCAACCCTTCATGCTAATTAAAACATGACGGAATCAAGCTATTAGCAAAATTAGGAGTTCTGACCCTCTCTGGCCTCCGTGGCCCGGGTGTGGTCCACCAAGGGACACCTACGTGTTGCCTTGGTGAGAATCTGTGCTGAGAGGACAGTCCGTCTATCCTGGGTCTTGCTTACCTAGCAGAATGTAAACATCGCTGAACTTTGCTTACTGGATAAAAGGCAGCATTAGCTTCTCATTAGCGTCCCATTGCATTTCCTCCTGCAGGATCAATCACACAACCCAGACGCGTGGCCCCTGCTTGTAATTAATCTTGGAAAAGCGGAGCTCTTCTGTGCTGTATCTTAGCACAGCTTTCTGCGGGGTGGGGTGGGGTGGGGTGGGGTGGGAGGAAACACAGGCTGGGAGCAGAATAATAAACACCAGTGTCTGAGAAGCCTGCTCCCTGCCCGGTGCCGAGAGCAGCTTTTTTAAGTGGTTGATTCACTGTCGGAAAATTCGCTTTTGCCATGAATGCCACTTAGCACCCATGGAGGGAGTTTATGATTTCTTCTTCTCCACAGTGTGAATTTGGTGCTTTAGTTAGTTGTGTCCCCCCCCCCGTCCCACCCTGTTCTTTTTTAGCCAAATCAAAGCTGGTTAAATCCTATCTTTTTGGTGGTTCTAGAATTGTGCTCGGCACTCACAGCCTGTCAGAGGGAGAGAAGTACTTGGGTTTCTCACAAGGATTTCACTGTGACAATTCCACACAATTGAAAGAGACCTGCTTTTGACCTTGCTCTCAGAGCTCTGCTTTTCTAATTCTTCACTGGATTTAAAAATGCTTGAAGGTGGCTGGATTTTCTTTCTTTCTTTTTCACTGCAGCCATCTCACTCACGAGGCTTGTAGAGGAAGGTGGGGAGGCGGGTGGTAACAGGGAAGTGAAAATCCCACCAGCGTTCATCTGAGACGGCCAGGACTTGAGGCGCTAAGGGCTGTCAGCTCCTTGCCTTCCCGAATAGAAATGCTTGTTGCTATTTTAGGAACCGAGCACAATGCAGGAAAACCTTGCTGTCAGGAAACCCAACACATGGAAGCCCCTATTTACAGAAAATCCACTGAGGAGTGACTTTCTCGAGAGTGCTAGGAGGACTGTTGAGAAGCAAGTTTCCTTGCTGCTGGGAGTATCACGTGAGAGACATGCTTCGTTTTAGGGACATGCCCATTGTGTAAAAAAGAGGCATATCTGAGTTCCTCTCTACAGAGGGATTTCTTCTGAAAAAGCGTCGCCCTCCCCTGGAAGTCCCGGAAAACATACTGACAACATGAGGATTACGACACGTTGACAATGGGAGGATTATTTCCTAACCTGGTGTGTGACAAATGCCTATTAATAAGTGAACAAGGCCATTCCGCCTCCATTTTCTCTCAAACATACTGACTCGTGGTCAGTACCCCTGGGGTAACCGGCTCTGCACGTTCTGCCTCCTGCCTGGGGTCCCCGGTGGAGGGGGACCTTCTGAGCAGGCCCCAGACAGCCCTGCCCAGACAGAGGTGGCCGTGGAGGGGTCCCTTGGGCTCCGTCACCCAGAGCAGGTGAGCTTTTCTCACTCCCTCCTGGCATTCCTGTTGCCAGAGCACAGAGTGCTTGTTAGGCAGAATGCATATCTGGAAAGCCTGACCAAGCCGTTTTTCTCATGGAAGAAAATAAGTAGTTGTTGGAAAACCTTGACTGGTTGAGACCTCAGAGGCCTGGCTGGGCATTTCTAGTTATCTGCAGAGACTAGTTTTTCTTTTTGAAAGTCCTGCTTCCTTCCCACAATTCCTGGCCTTCGAGCCCTGTAAGTTTCCCATGCAAGGTTCTCACGCCTCTGTCACAACGTGTTTGCCATCTCTTCTTTCCACTGTTTCTTCCAAGAGAGTCTCTTCTCAAAAATGCAGCAGCTAATACGGCCTTGCTGAGAGAAAGCCCCTGAACGAAAGGGAACTTCACAGAGCGGCAAGGGGAAGCTCTGCTTCGGAACAGAATGAGCTACCTGCACGCCACCGCCAAGTCCTCGGGAATAGGTGACACGGGGCAGGCTTCTGAGAATGAATGAGTCACCCCCTCTCGCACTCTGCAGCCCGAGTCGGGGAGACACTGGCGCACACCCGCCATGACTCACTTTAGTCTCACTTCCAGATCTGTCAGGAGATCGCCTGGCCGTTATTGCGAGAAATCACTAGGAAAATCAAAGGACAAACTCTCGAGTCCAAATCGTTCTGCGGTTCTTGACCAGCTTCTGGGCGTGTGGAGCAGCCGCCTCATGGAGGGTCCTCTCCCCACACTTGGGGCCCAGGCGTAGACCTGAACCTGACTCTACCAGACCTTATTATTGGAGCAGCTCAAGGATCCACCCCTCTTAGCCCCTGAGCGAGGCGCAGGTCAGCTGGAGTGAGTGAATCCTCTGGAACTCTGGCCCTGTGTCCTACCCCTCAAAGTGCCTCCAGGCCTGGGGCTAGGGGACGGCTTTCCTGCAAGTGGAGGTGCTTCCATGCCTGGATGGGCACATTCAGATGCACAAATAGGACAGGAAGGTGGGATAGACCAAGGCAGGGGATAGAATTCAAGGGGTCCATGTAGCTTCCTTGGTAACACCATTTAAAAAAATTATTTGTGCAATTATTTATTGACATAATTGAATGAGGAATGCTTAGACAAATATCCCTGAGGCTTTGCTCAAAATAAAGCACTTTTATAACCCTAGGTATTTTAATTTTGGCACCTAAAAGAAATATATTCTTATTTTTTAAAATTCATTTTTATTATTTATTTAGAGACAGGGCTGGAGTTGCCCGGGCTGGAGTACAGTGGCACAGTCACGGTTCACTACAGTCTTGAACTCCCAGGCTTAAGGGACCCTCCTGCCTAGCCTCCCAAGTAGCTAGGACTACAGGTATGTGCTACCCTATCCAGCTAATTTTTTTTTATTTTATTTTTTGTAGAAATGGAATTTCACTATGTTGGCCAGGGTGGTCTTGAACTCCTGGCCTCAAGCCATCCTCCTGCCCTCCCAAAGTGCTGGGATTACAGGCACGAGCCACTAACTCCCAGCCAAGAATTGTATTCTGATAAGGTATCCAAGGCACAGACAAGATCAAGAGCCCCTTCCCTGTGGAATGTGGATGCTGGTGAGAGGGTGGGGAGTCGCAGGGATGTGAAATGCATCTCCACACCCCACAGCTGACACCCACCTGTTCTCCAGCCTGATAATGCTGCCAAATGTTCACTCTGTGCCTCAGTTTCTTTGCTGATAAAATGGGAATAACAACACCCTTGAGCCTCAAATGCATATGCCTGGCCCAAGGCCATGGCTGCAGCCAACTCAGAACCCCTACTGACCTGTCTGTACCGCCGAGCCTCTCCTTCCTTGTTCTGGACTCAAGACCCGACGTCCAGCCTCATTCTTCATTCTGCAAGAAATTTTCAGAAATTGGTCACTCTCATGGTTACCCTAACTTCAGAGCAAAACCTTTCAGACTCAGCAAAAACAACTTTGGGACTCAGCTGAATTTCATGGGGGTCATTCTGGCCCAAAGAAGGTCCACATTATTATCACTGACCTGCTGTCTTAAGTCTGGGCTGGAAAACTGGGTGGGCGTGGGCATGGCAGGTGGGGAGTTCTGCCAGCCAGGGCACTCGTGCTCATTCTTGCCATGCCGGCACACGTGACAAAATGACAGGGCACGGATAACATCGTCACAGCACCCTCAAGAGCCTCTTAGTTCTCGTTTCACGCAGTGCTTCTAGTGACATGCCTTTATGGGTTTTTTAAGCACAGGTGGAGAGAGGATGAAGAGTTTCCCGTTTTAGGGCTGGGGTGCTCTCAGAAAGAAAAAACAAAAAGATGCGACACGCCAGGCCCACAACCTGGCTGATGCCATTCCTCCGTCCCCTCACTCCCAGAGGCTCAGGCAACAGCTACAGACCTGGGGGCTCAGGAGAAGGGGGAGCTTTAAAGGGAAGCTGCAGAGAAAGGGGTGAGATGAGAACACTTTTAGCAAAGTCCCTCTTCTTGGCTGAAGACACACCTGGACCTCAGTTCCCCTCGTCTTTGAGAGGCAATGAAATAGGATGACAGGAGATGGGGATGGATCATCGTTTTGTCCTCATTTTGCAGAGGGGGAAATGAAGGCAGTGGAGCTTAAAGTGAATTCTTCTAGAGCAGCCTATTAACATTTATAAAAATCACAGGTTGGTAGGGGCCATGTATGTTTAGTAAACGTCTTCAGCTCCCCTTTGAAGCTAGTGCTTTTTCTTTTCTTGACTCCTATAATGGGTTCAGACCAGCAAAGCGAAGAGGATCAAGTCAGGTCTTCCAGGACATTTATTCAGACGAAGTGGGCAGGAGCATTAAGGTGAGCACACCACACTCCAGGAGGCCTGAGGGGACTTCATGGGGACACTCTGGGCACCTGGGGCGGAAGGGGAAAGCTCAGCAAGGCGCACGAAATGATTAGATGACAGTTTTCCCATCTGTAAAATGGGACAGCACTCAGTCTCCTTAGCTATGAGAGGGAATAAGAGAGAATCCTCTGGCTCAGCAAACATTCACAGCCATCGGTGTCACTGTTACTGGCAGCTCACCAACAGGTGCCCCTGAGACCACGGAGCACGCCCGGACCCCACAGGGGGAGTGCCTAGAGCCAGCTCTGCCACGGAGGCCCTGCAGGAGCAGCACTCACTTGGCACATTCTTTCAAAGTAACGCCTCTGGGCTCAGGGTCCGTTATGCCAAAGGATGACGTGGTGGTACCTGTTAGGTTCTTGGAGTAGTTTTCTCCAATATCAGAGATCAGGAAGAAGAATTTAAAAAAGGATCAAAGCAGAGGCATCCGTGGATTCACAGCCAAGCCAGGGTATGCAGTGTTTAGGTACTTACAGCGAAAGCAAAGAAAAATCACGGAGAAAGGAAACTTCACATGACAGCTGTTGGTAGGGGAGCTGGATAGCAATATCCAGAAAAAATTCTGATGCCTATGAGGTCACCGTTGCCGCTCCGCCTGTGGCAGCCGAGCGCCCCTGGCTTCTGCCATGTGGTGATCCCGCCATGCCCACCGAAGTGGGACAGGCCACCTCCACGGCCGCGCCCCGCCCCGGGAAGGGAGTGTCCTCGGAGCCTGCTCCGGGGACAGGACGTGGAAGTGCCTGTGCAGGCCGCAAACGATGAGCCCACGCCGACATCCCAGCCTTCTAAGCCTCCCATCCTTCCTCCTGCATTGCGCCAGGGAAGTTCTGGAAACCTCACTGGATGGAGAACCACCGATCCCCACTTTCAGCCAAGCAGCTAAGCAATCTCTCAGATCCACTCCCAGGTGCTCAGCTGACACATTAAATTCCCAATCTCTTGGCTTCACCCTCCTTGGTCTAATACCCTTAGAATCCATTCCGATCACATCGCTCAGGTTTTCACCAATACCAGTTGGAAAAATGCAGTCCGTTGGCGGACGTCCCCCCTGGGCTCTCCGGGTTCCCGTGTGCTGGGAGCAGACGCCCCCCGTGCACCCCTCGGGGCTGGGTCTAGGCTGCGGCAGGGCCCCTGGGCCCCAAATGCTGCTGCTCTGGTGACCACCGGTGTTTGTGCCCACGGAAACAGGTCTTCATTTGCTGGCAGGGATGCTCAGCTCCACTCTGGTTTTGCCAGAGATTTCACTTTGATTCAGAAATTCAACAATCCTTCTGATCACGAGAGGGTCCCAGAGGAGTGAGCCTGGGGACACGCCCTGGGGGCTTTGGCCTGACAAAGCTGCTTTTCTGACTGAGTCTTTGCAGGCCGGGGCTGAAGACTCAATATGCACCTCCCCGGCACCTTCAACCCCCACTCTGACATTCCCTCTGGATGCCGGAAGACTTTGTTATCAAAGCCAGACTGGGAAAAGTCTGCGGTGACCGAGTTCAGGTCCGCCGAGGGGGCAGATGCCCGGCTGAGCTGGTGGCTTCAGGAGTGCCTCTGTCCCAGTGACCGCCATTCACACCTGCTCAGCGCGTCACACGGCTCCTCTCCAAGCCTGGGAGGCAGGTGTCACTGCCCCCCTCTTATGGGTGATGCAGTGGAGGCTCAGCCTCCTCCACGTGCCTCCCACACATCTACCCCAGTGACCGTGGGGGCAAGACAGGGAGAGGCTGGTTTTGCATGCCCCAGATGATGCCTGTGGGTCTTGGGGGGTGGTGGCATCGGTGGTCATAGGCTTCTGCGTCAGTCACGGGGCTATGACTTCTGCTCCAGCCCCTGGGCATCTGCAGGGAGAGATGCCAGTCCTTTTCTCACAGGTGGGCACACTGCCTGCTCTCTGCTGCGTTTCCAAATTCTCTAGATGCAGAAGGGAGACCAATTTGTGCCATTCCATCTTATTCCCGCTTTAGAAGTATCTCCTTAAAACTTTGGTTTTGAAAAGCTTGGACTCGGCAGCAAAATGTACTTTCCAATGAAGTAGGAATGTAAAAAATCCTGCTGCTTCTGAAACATACCTGAGAAAATGTGTGCGATGCCTAAATGCAAAGCAACCCTCCACTGAATGGACTCAGCTCTCGGGAACCGCGTTTTATGCCTTGGGACTAATCACTGACCCAAATGTACAAGGTTAAAAGTTTTAAAAACAGAATTCAGCATCGGGTACAAGTATGACAAGAACTTCTTTCTTTTTATTTTATTTTATTTTTTTTTAAAGCAAGTAGACTCATTTCCTGAGTCACTGCTAGAAACTTTCTAAAGGATAAGGCTTTGGTGAGAGTGGGGATTGTGGGTCAGATGGACCCATACGCTCATTTCCTTCTCTGTCATTCCCAGCTAGTGGCCAGCGAGCTCAGTCTCCTCATGGATAAAATGGGCAAAGTAACCCTTTCTGAGGGTTTCTGTGTGTGGCAAACCAGATGAAGTTGGGGAGGAACCAGCACAGGGTACAAGTGAGAACAGCTGAGCCCAACATGCCTTTTTTTTTTTTTTTCTTAATTTCCTTGTCCTTGGGACTTCCATTCATTTTCCACACATTCCAAGAATTTCTTTCTGATTCAACATCTAAGAAAGCTACAAACATTGGTAACCAGGGATCTAAAAAAACAAACCAACAAAAAAACATGTAAGCACCCAAATCGAGTCCCCAGGCTGGTGGCTGCAACGGGAAGGCCACTGTAACCTATTAGACTTTGGGCACGCAGAGACTCGGTCCACAACGATTGCTGGACACGAGCATTAATTATTACCTACACAACCGTAAAATTAGTCAGCAATTTCCAGTTAAAGCTCCTGTTGCAAGCGGGAAGAGAATGAGCGAAGACCAAATCCTCCCGATCAAGCTTAAATTAAGCACAGGATGAGGAAATGAGTGCAGGGCACACGGCAGGCACGAGGCAGGTGGGGATTAAATCCCTGGGTGACGGAATTCTGCCGGCGCTTCAGTTTTTATCCTACTCTTCCAAATTGCCCCACGCTGGGAATTTAGAATGCAAAATTGCAAAGGCAGTGATGTTCGGGGAACGAGATAACACGGCTCTGCCTGTGGCTTGCTATGTCCGGCTGCCGTAAGGAGAGACCCGGGTGTGCAGGGGACAGACTCGAATGTGCCACCGGGGAGCGCCCTGCCGTGAACGTCACAGCGGAGCCCAAGGCTTAGACCCCAGCAACGCAGCCGCCCGCGTTCCTTCTACTGAAGTAGAATCTGCCCGACAAACACCCTAAATGTGAAGACATCCTCTTCCAAGCGGACCCGGCTCTTAGAAATCATATTTTATGCTTTTTGCTTAATTAACAACAAAGGGTCATCTGATCTTGGCATCCTGATTTTGGTTTCAGTTTGCTTTCAATCTCAGTCATTATGAACCAAATGGGGGGGGGGGGCATGGAACGCTCTGCCCGCCTCCTCTCCACGCACAGATAGCCGCCCCACGGCTCAGTCCTTGCTGCTAGGACCAATCCACGAGAATGCAAGTGCCATTAACTGACATTCATCAAAACACTCTCCATTGTTCACAGACACCAGCGGCCAAGAGGTGGAAACGACTTGGCATTTCATTTTAATCTGTATTGAAGACTTGCCTGACAAAACATATTAAGGGTAAGAATTGCCAGCTTGGGAATGAAGCTATGTTTATGGCTGGCCCCATCTTTTTTCTTTCCTAAAGGAAAGGAAATGACACTTCCCCTGTCCTTTCCAACCTTCTGCAGCTCACCACCCCACCCCCACGTCCACCATCCGTGAAACCTTAATATTTAATTTTCCTTCGTGAGTGAAGCTTTTGTTCGCAGCGTCTATAAAATTATAATAAACATCTTGTGCCTCTGCACTGGCGTCTGAGATTAAAAAAAAAAAAAAAACCAACAAAACAAAACCCAACAAACTCTGCCTTTAATATGGTGTTATCAGCAGCCTTTTCCTGGGGGAGGCTCCACGTGGCCAGCTAACTGCAGGCCCCAGAGC